AGACCCCTTGTAGCAGGATGTTCTACCTGGAAAAGAATCTGATGGGAGAATGTAGGCAATGCAAGCTCTCTGTGGGGAGTTACTGCTGGTGCCAAGGGGTTGAATTGTGCCAAACCCAGCCTGGTTTCCCAACCTTCCAACACACATCCTGCTTTTGGAAGCAGAGTTTGACAGATCAGCTGCTCACTGGCCTGGGAATATCTGGCCATCCATCACTGAATAAGTATAAAAGCCCAGGGCCAACTTTCATAGAACAGATTCTTCCACAGACTTTGTTGAAGTGTGTGGAGCTTCTGCTGTGAAGCAGGGACGCCTCTTGAAGGTCACTGCCCAGGGGGTAAAAGAAAGAGAGAGATCTACCTTGATTTATTTCTATCAGACACCGCTGGGCCCTCCCCGCTTCCTGCCCAGTCCTGGTTATTGGGGGGCAGTGGAGGAGGGGCTTGGGGGAATCCCAAGGGGTGGAGCCAAGTTTGGGGGCGGCAGAACCAGCCTGAGATGGATCGAGAATGGGGATCCCCCTGTGTCTGCCCGTGTCAACACGCTCTGGGTGGGATTTGGGAGGGCACCTGCCCCTCAATAAAGCACCCAGCTCACACTAAAAGGTGCTGGGACCCCCAAAAACCTTCCCACGGCCCCTCAAAAACTCCCAAACACACTCAAAGCCCACCCAGGACCCCACCTAAGCCAAATTGCTGTGGGGTGCTGGGGACTGCTGGATCCAATCTCAGCCTTGGATTATGACAACAGTTGCAGTTTAGAGAAATTACAGAGCTGTGACTGAAACACTTTTGTCCCCCAGCTTTTAATGATGGCAAATCAGATCTATTGATAGAAATGAATTTATTTAGGGTTACAAATGATCAGACAAAAGATCTTCATCAGAATTATTTACTACACAATACAAACACTAAAACTACCATCAGTACAGGATAAGATAGGACAGTGCTCTACACTAAAGCAATTCTTGATGCAATTCTACTCAAGCTGGCACAAAAGCAAGAATTCTTATTTAGAGATGGATGGAACTCCCCCAGACCAACGCTCGTGGGGAGATCTCTGCTCTCAACCTCCAGCAGTGACCTTGGGGGGGTCCCCAGCCAAGGCAGGAATCTCCACATACCCCCCAAGAAGGGTTCTGTTGGAAGAACCTGCCCCTGGGAAAGGGGACTGACCCTTTGTGGTCGAAAGGGATGGACTGACAGTCACTGGACTCCAGGGGTTGCCTCACCATCAGGGGCTTCATTTGGGGTGGAAGCAGCGGCCAAAGCTCTTCCCGCAGTCGGGACACTGGTAGGGCTTCCCTTACCGGTGGGTCTGTTGGTGTTTGGTCAAGTTAGAGCTGCGGGTGAAATTCTTCCCACACTCCCCACACTTGTAGGGCCTCTCCCCGGTGTGGATGCGCCGGTGGGTGACGAGGTTGGAGTTCCGGTTGAAGCCCTTCCCACAGTTGGAGCAGCAGAAGGGCCTCTCGTCCGTGTGCGTCCGCTGGTGCAGCAGGAGATTCGAGCTGGTCTTAAACTTCTTCCCACATTCCAAGCACTTGTAGGGCCGTTCCCCAGTGTGGATGCGCTGGTGGGTGCGGAGGGTGGAGCTGTCACTGAAGCTCTTCCCACATTCCAAGCACTGAAAGGGCTTCTCCCTGCTGGGAGGCTGCTCAAGAACCACCAGCTCGGAGCTCCGCCTCAAGCTCCGGTCGCCTTCCCGGCACAGGCCCCCCTCTCCCACCTCCTTCGCGAGCTGTTCTCTGGTGTGGATGTGCTGGTGTCGGATCAGGTGGGTACTCCGGCTGAAGATTTTCCCACATTCTCCACACAAATATGGCCGTTTCCCAGTGTGGATGTGCTTGTGCCGGATCAGGTTGGAGCTTTGGTTGAAGCTCTTGCCATATTCCCCACACATGTAGGGACGCTCCCCAGTGTGGATGCGACGGTGGATGCAGAGGTTGGAGCTCTGGCTGGAGCTCTTCCCACATTCCCCACATATGTAGGGCCGTTCCCCAGAGTGGATAAGCTGGTGTTGGAGCAGTTCGGTGCTTGTCCTGAAGCTCTTCCCACATTCCAAGCACCTGAAGGGCTTCTGCCTGCTGGGAGGCTGCTCAGGGACCACCAGCTCAGAGCTCCCCCTCAAGCTCCGGCCGCCTTCCCGGCACAGGCTGGGTCTTTCCTCCTCAGAGCACCCCGGGTTGGCTTTGGAGTCCCTCCTGCGGGGGGATCTCTGGGCCTTTTCCTCCCCGCTGCCTTCCTGCGCCGTGGAGCCCTTCAAAATGGCCTCTCCCACCAGGGTCTGCTGGGGGGATTTGTCCTCCGGGCTCTCCGTCCCCAGCTCGGGGCCTGGGGCAGGAAGCAAGAAGGACAGGGAGGGGATTTGCCTCCGGCCCACAGGGAAGGCCAAGGACATCCCCCCAACTCCGGCCCCGGCAGGACGGTGGCGGCAGCGGGGTTGTCCTGCAGCCGGGGGCCATGCTCGGCTGCCAGAGCCAGCACAACACCCGCCCAAAGGGCCACTGACTTCCTCCTCACCTGCCTGGGGGGCCCAAGGCATCTTCCTCTTCCTCGCAGCCTCCACCTCCATCTGCCCAAGCTTTGGGAAGGACAAATCCTGATGGGGGAAGGGAAAACAAGGGCTGCGAGCGCATTGGCTTGGGGGTTCCTCCTGCCCAAGTCCATCTCTAGAACTCATCGAGCATCCTGTGACCATAAAATCCTCCAAAGCACCGAGATTCAGCCCAGAAAAACCCAAACCACCGAGATTCAGGCAAAAAACCCCTCAGAAATATTAAGAAGACCCTCACCACCCCAAACTGCAAAAAGTTGAGATTCAGCTAAAAAATACGCCAAAATATGAAGATTCAGACCAAAAAAAGGTGATGGGGACTGAATTTAACCCTCCAGCAGGAAAGCTGTTTGATTTCAACCTCGTCTTCAAGGCGTGCCATGGGATTGGAGCCTGGGCTCTAATTAACCTCTCCTGTGCTGCCAAACAACAGGAGCTGTATGGCCAAGGGACAAACTCTGTGATCCCTGTCAGTGTTCATGGTCCCTGTCAGTGTCCCTCAGGGAAATTGGGAGGAGGAAATGAAGAAACCAGTTTGGAACTAAACTGGTGTACAAGTGGGAAAAACCTCCTTCCATGGAAATAAAACTTAGACAGTTTTTCCTGGGCTGAACGAGCTCATTCAGGGATGAAGGACTGGGACTTCTGTGGACACTTGTGCTGGTTTCTTTGGACACTTGTGTTCCTTCAGAGAGCCCCTGGAAACACTCTGCTGTTCACTCCCAG